ACGGAAAGTACAGCGAGGATAATAGCTAATAAGCGATTGAGTTTGGAGTGAGCGTGCGTTGCTGGTTAATCGTTGTCAGGCAGGGTTTTGCCAACATGATTGTGTTACGGCATAAGGTTTTGCAATGATGGTGAGGGGGGGGGAGAGTTGGAAAGCCATCGAGTTAGCGGGAGTGTATGATGTTTTTCAGCGCTCATTCACCCCGCGGAATGGTCGAGGATGAGGGGGAGCGAGCGGGCACGTCCTTTAACATAAATGCACTTTCGAGTCGCGGGCGGCTTTTCAGTTAAGTCTGCTCGCTCGAGCTCAGCAAGAACGTAGTGGTGGTGAGGGAGATGCTGCGAAAGTCCACATCACCATAAACTAATTCATACGCAAGCCACCGGTGCTGTGCCCACCATGCCGTGGGGCACACGGTGGACGTTGTTGCTTGCGACGATCAAACTGTCAAGGTCGTAATGAAGTGTGCACCCGACTTAGCTGTTGTTGTTTAATGGGACGGATAGCCCTATCTGCAGGCTGGGCGTCGGGCCGATGGGACAGGTCAGATCTAACGATGTGGTGGACGGCAAAGCGAGGCACGTCTATCAAAAGTAGCCGGCACAAGGCAAGCAAACACTTTCCGACACCAGAGAAACTAGGATGTGTGCCTAATAATTACTCAGACCAACTCAGCATTGACATTTTGGTCATTGTTGTCTGAAAGCCTGCTGGTGTAGACATGCAGAAGCGCGATCAACCATGTCCTTATGCTGTGCTCTTGCTCTTACCTCCTATTATTCTCACCATTTGGTGCATCGACCCTCGTTATTTTATGTAAGACTTGGTCTTAACCAAGTGACTTCTAACATCCCGGTTTTTTTAGCATCCAGTTTCCAGGAGGAAACAATTTTTTCTCGGTGATACGTCCTAACTGACTCTTAAAAATCCGAAGTAACGGATGACGGGGGGAAGAAAACAGAGAGCAAATGGATTGGCAAGGGTCACTATCTGCTACTAAGACCAAGAAGCAAAAACTTCTGAGCAAACAAACACACTACGGAATTATTGGACTACTGAAGCTACTAATACTGCTGACAGAAGGTAAAGCAACTACCTCAACAAGGCCGCGCAGGGCGGTTAAAAGAAGTCTGGGGTCGGTCGGCTCTGTATCAGTACGTTCGCTCGAGATTGGACTCGAGAGGCCATTTTGTTTTGCTTTTGATTCCGCGCAATTGGGGAGTTGATCCACGATGGAGTTCAGTTTATAGGCGAGTTGACTACCCGGAACCAATTTGCGGAGATCACTGATGGAAGTTACGAGCTGAAAAGGAGGTTGGATTGTCTGAATATCAAAAAGACAACGGACGTGCAAATAATGCAGCCATCGATCGATTTGGGAATTATCTGTGTACGGGATCTCCGACATCACTAGACAGGGTCATAGAGAGCCGATTTTGCTGGAATTAGAGTGATCGGCAGATGACTGGCGAACATTTCTTCGTTTACGCCCCCAATTTTTTCCATAGTACGCTTGAACTGGTTATCTCTATCCGGCATTGCAGCTCTTGACTTTTTTTCACTTACGTTTGCTTCAATGGCTTTGCAGTCAATTCAAAGACCGGCTGGGCATACTTTTCGTTTGTTGCATGTGAGCTTGTCAGATGATTGCATTATAAAAGCTTTACTTTGGGGCATGAAAGGAAAAGTTTGATATTTGCCCATTAGACAAAAAGAACGAGGGCAGACTGTATAAGATGTTAGACAGGCTTCGCCCCTTTTTTCAGTGTGGGATGACAAAAGACGAGAAAACCCACTGAATTAAGTCAAAATGGGGCGTTCTCGGTTTAGAAGACAAAGTGTCCTCAAAAACCAGGGGGTCGTTGGCGTGAAGTTGCAAGCACACATAGGCAGTTATCCATTGGGTATGGACCATGCGGCATTTACTCGACTACCTCATAAGTCCAGGCTTATTATTCACTCGTTGTCTTCTTAGCCATTGTACGTAGAGTTATTAGATGAATACCAAACGTTTGTCAACGTTAACGCATGACTAGTGCCTTAAGATGGAAACAGAGCATGATAGGGTGAACTGTAAAAGTCGAATTCGAAGACATCGCGTAAGGAATACGGGCAAGACCAAATAGGTGGGGGAAAGTTTAAACTAAAAATATTGGTGTAGCCTACCTGACCGGCGTGCTCGTTTATAACGTGCTCATAACTGAAATCTTCAATGTTAGAATCGTGCAAAGCCCAAAGGAGACAGGAATGAGCATTCGTGAGACACGCGGTTCCATTCTCCAAAAGGCGCTTTCTCAGCTCAGATGCCGCAAACTCCGCGTTGAAAACCTGACTTGACGGGCGCAACTGTTGTCCCTCATCAGTTACTTCATGTTCCAGTAAATGCCATGATGCAATCAACACATTATTGAGATCTGCAACAATGTGAAAATGACAAATCACGTTAGCATTCCTAGAATCATATGATTTGAACTGTGACATAACGATAAATGGTTCAAGAGGCGATAGAAAGGTGTTTAAATCACCTGGATCGACGGCCGTTTCATCCAAAATTGAGGATAGATATCCCGCCAGGCCTCGGACCGCCTCAGTGACACAGCGCAGAGAATCCAAAAGTTTAGCCGTAACGGGCGGAAGCTGGTCAGGGGAAAGCCCAGCCGCGGAACCTTCGGAAATTTCCTTGGCCTCAGTGACCAGTCTCTCTGGAAGACTCGACGTGTGTGATGTCGACGATGGAGGAAAGGCGTCGTTGAATTTGGCCACAGAGTTTATAACAGCGGCACAGACGGAATCCAACTACAAAATATTTTTTCGTTATTACTACTAAAACTTAGTCAGCAGGCTTTGTTTTTTCCTAAATTTTAGATCCATCCTTACCGTATCGCCCGGCAGCTTGTGGTCGGAATTCGAGTTCAACTGTGTATGCATATCGGCTAGACGAGAAGCAATCGACGGCCAGGCGACTCGCACTGACGGGGTAGTTTTTGAACCCCGTCTCAACGCCTTTGCTGTCTCAGCGTCGAACGTTGGAAGAGGTGGTGGGGGATTTTTTAGCACAGGCTCAGCAGCGGTGCAGCATTGTCGTAGATCAGTCAGACAAATGTGTGTGTTTCGGGCCGCCGACGTCAGCGCTGCCTGAATTCCGGTATCGGGCACAGTTGGCGCCAAAATATCGACCGATGAGATAAAGTCTTTCAGAGTCTACAGGAAGTCAAAAAGTGAGAGGGTGAGTACGCAAATGTGCGGCCGTGGCACATTACATCAAGGCAGAAGGGGATGAAAGAGACAGAGACAGAAGGCGAACTCACATCCATCAGATTTTTCGATGCAGCAAGAAGATTGGTCTGATTGCCAAACTCCTGTGGTTGGGCACGAGCCTGATCGCACGAGAGAGTTACTTCGGGCATAACCTCATTTTGGAGCGTGTCCAGTTCTTGCAGTATCTGGAAACAAAAAGTAACGCTAGAGTAGTGATTATTTTTAATTTAGCATAAGCTAATGAATCAGTGTTCGGTCCTTTATAACACGGGTAATTAAAGTTGGCATTCTTCATTTGAAATTAAAAAGTCCATCGGATCTGTTTCGAATTTACACGACGCTGCAATGGACGGCGAATTCCTGTATTAATGTAGTTTACGGAGGTGCCGGTCGAATTCACTTATCTTGTTTCTTGACTTCGGTAAGTAAAGGAGTCAGATTTGGACGATGTCCTGCCGTTTCTCTTTAATAGAATACACCGAATCGGTAGGACACGGGAATATGGACCTCCCTCATTACAGGTGGCCTCGTGTTAAATTCCATGGCGGTTAGGGTTAGGTCAGATGAAAAACAGGTCGGATGAAACAACAAATATGTAGGGCTATGACCTACTCAAATAGATATAGTAGGTCTTATTTCTAGGCAACAGATATTTGGGTGCCCTCTCCCGATTGTTGCCAGGGTAAGTGTTAAGGAGACTAGGATAATGTTATGATGCAATGCGTAGCTCCATGGAATTTAGCACAAAGCCACCTGTAGTACTAAAAAGGAGGTCTTATTCCTGTGTCCAGCCACCGAATCCATTACGTTCACCTACGAAGAACAAGTCCACCCGTATGAAGACAGACTTACAATGGATTTCCATTGGGCTCTTCTCGTGGCGTATCTTTTTATGGCGGATTTTAGACAGTCCATTCCCATAAGTCTTCAAAAACTCAAAAAGTAGGAAGGCCTTATGTCGAAGGTACGCCTTGGATGCAGAAACGCAAACAGGCTGACTTCTTTTTGAATGCACTAAACTCGAAAAGACTGGATACCAGAAACAAAGTATGTTTTGGTGCTCAACAAATGTAGCTTTATTCCTGCAGCCCTAGTAAACAAGAGTTACTGGTTATTCTCTAGTTACGGGACTATCAATGTTGAAAAGCATTTACTTGTGAGGCAATGAGCCAGAGAAAGGTATCCGAATAAATAAATTTGCAGTACTGAAAATAGAGATACAAAGATCGCAAACAAGACGACTTTACATTGCGCTACATCCGATACAGCACTCTTTGTTCCCAACACCGGTCCGCAGTACTGCGAGTTTTGAATTCGGCATGTGTGAGATTATTATTGGTGCTTCTGGCACTATCTGAAGCTAACCCAAGAGTGCAGGTCCAACCGATTGTGACCAAAAACGTAACCTTTTTCAGGGGTTAGTTTTGAGTTTAGCGTGTTTACACCACACAAATTTTACACAACTCGAAGGCGTGCACCGATGAACATAGACAGTTATTTTGGAAAGTGCCGAAGGTCAGATGTGGTTATGTGCACCACCTGAGGTAAACAAACCCTAGCCGCCTGTAATACGGGACCGGTAGTAATATGGGATTTTACAGGTGGGGCCGGGGAATGCATAGTAGACGAGGTCAAGTAATCGCGTGCAAAAAAGCTATTGGGAATGCCGGGTTGTAATTTAAGTGGTTAAGAAATAGTTGCCCTAACCCCAACCCCTAACTCTAATCCCTAACACTAATCCCTAACCCTAGTCCTAACAGTATTGTGTCCATCAGGTGGGACTACATAACCACATCTTACCGTGCCGAATATTCAGCACCGAACAGGAACCACGGTCCACGTTTGGAACGCACACGCCACAAAGTGCGTTTCCAACATCCGAAAAGTCACTCACAGGCATGCGACCACTTCCATTCGCAAACCATCGTGAAACAGACTTACTCTACCAAACAAAGGGACTGTTAAGACGTGCAGAAAGCTGCTATTCACAGTGAATTTAATGCTACTTATAAGAAATATCCCTCGAGTTACAGTTTCCTACTGTCTTGAGTCATTACCCTTTTTAATACTTCAAACTTTATTTTGTGTGTTTACCTCCTGTAGCCTAGCACTAGCAGCGTTCGCTCTAATCGTTTACTCCGTGTCAGTACTCGCCCCTCCTTCGGTTATGCATACCAACGACTTTCGCGTCAAAAGCATTATAGATCTTCCCTCGACCTCCTTTTCCCACGCAGACACCCGCGGCGATCTGGTCAAACCATTTGGCGTGAGAACGGTCAATCTGAGTTGAGAGGACCACTTGCCAATTTGCTTTTCAAGGCAGTACCAGTTTCTTATGAATTCCATTGTAACAAGCCCATTTGATTTTTCAAATATTTATAAGTTAAGCTCTTAAATCAGCCATATGGAAGGAATTTGGTAACATATTGGCTGAATTTTACTGTGATTTTAAACTCCACGTATTGAGTAATTATTGGTTTACCTGGTAGTATCACAAAACGAAATTTTCCTATTGTCAAATTAATGCAATAGCTGGAAGAAGTGTGTATACTTTTCCTTGAAAGGAAAGGGACAGAGACCTACTGGTGGCAGCCGCGGTCCAGGTATCCCTTAATCACAACACGTCACAACCTCTATCGTCCATGTTGAGCGGAAGGATACGAAAGCATTGGTAAACGCTAAACTTACGAAGCGTTTTAGTACCGGAAATGAGGTCAAGAAGAACGACGGAGGTCAAGTGTACTGGGTAACGGGTGACGGCAATACGCGCTAGGCCGATTAATGCTGTCAAGTAGTAGAAAAATCGAAGAATCGTCTTCAAGGGGGGTGGAGGTTGGGTCAACGCAAAAGGCCTAAAACGCCTATTTCAGTATTTCTCAGTTGTGTTAGCCAACGGCGGATTGTGTGAAGGGCGAGCCGGTCTAGCAGCGTATACGCACACGTTGCAGTTACTATCAACTGTAGCGACAGATAAAATTCGTAAGGTGCACATGGACGAACAATTTAGCCCGACAAGACTTGCTGCAGTATTTCTCGGCAAATGCCCAACTAAAAGATCCCCCGGAATTTCTACGAATGTTATTCGATGAGTCATGAATGCATCTGCATGTGTAGTCCGTCTGTAGATATTCGCAATACACGAAGTCAGTACGGCAAGGAGGGATAATGTAAACAGTTAGGGTCGCTTGGTCCTGTTATCAACCTCTGAGCGAAATATAACCATCATGGAGGACGACAATGAACGGCGCAAACAATGAGGCTTCGTTCCCACGTGCTTCCAATCTTTCTGGCATAATTGGAAAAAGATGAAAATTTAGTGTAAATCGCCGTAAGATTCCCGCCGATTATCAGATAATCTTAAATTTCAACCGTTCAATCTTAATGGTTCACAGGGGTAAACAGTGAAGACACCTTTCCGATCGGCTAATTGGCAAAAAACGCCCTGGAAGAATTTCGAGTGGAGTTTGAATGGTCAGTTTGTAGATTCTGTGGGGACGCCTTTTATTCAGTACAAACAATCCATTAAGAAAGAGTGAAAAATTGGGGTTGCTACCCGAGTCTTGGGTTACCCTGTTGATCGTAAACTTCAGTTTGAAATCGTATCCTAAACGCCAACTCGCAGAGATGCTCGGAATCCGTTTGAAAACAAAAACAACATGGCTGTCTTAGTTAGACACCTCAAGCACACTCAGTTTATGCAATCCACTATGCAATTTTGTCTAACGCAACTGTCACCGAACCCAAACGACCTAGAAAATTCCAGAAAAGATAGAAGCGAGAATCAATCATCCCCGCTAGCAACACCTACTGTGTGCGTCGGAAGTCAAAACTGCTCGCGCCTTGCCGATCAAACACAGACACGGTGCACATAAGAAAGATAAACTCACCTTAAATTGACTGGAGCGTGAAACGCGGACGGCCTCTTCTGTCATTGTGCTTAACAGATTGGCATTGCTGGCAGTAAGACGGGTGGCGAACTCCAGTCCGGTGGTAAGGCGGGCGCGAATAATGGGTGCGGCGAGAGCCTGCGCTCTCTCGAGCAGCTCGCTGGAGGCAGCGACTACCTTCTGTTGGTGTGGCAATGACTGCTGGTTGCCCTCGGCCAGCAGCTTTTCAGTGGAGACGAAAGGAAACAGGTGGGTGGGGTAAGGCAGAACGCCATGACAATAAATTATGGTGACTAAAAAAGCTGTTGCCTTAAAATCCTCCGGGGGAGGGGGATTCAGCCCATAAAGCTGTTCAGGTCTGCAGAGAGGAGAGTTATGTTAATGTCAAAAATGTTGTGAGTTTGGCAGACCGTCTGTCTGCGCATTCCTGAAGAACAGTGGTCAGTTTTCGCTTTCAGGACATCGCAGTAAGCACACAACATTCATGCGCTACCACCTCTCAAAACAAAAACAACAAAAATCGTCACGAAAACGCAAGATTTTGGAAGAAATTTGGGAGTCACAAAACTGGAGTCAACCGTGGGCTAACCAACGACACGGATACAGGGAGCATCAGCGAAGTTAGCACAGAGCCAATAAGCAAAACTAATAACACAACGCTCGGAAGAGTGAACTTTAAAAGAACCCTGCAAAGTCTACCGCAACATCTAAATATCCTTAAAATTAACAGAGGATATAGCATTTCCAGAGAAGAAGAATAAGTAGTAATATCTGTTCTTAGAAAAACGATCTCGGAAAGCATGCGAACACCAAGGGGAATTTGTAGTTACAAATCATCTATAAACGGCGAGGTCAGATCCTAAACGTAAGAAGGCTTAAATTACCAATAGCTGATCCTCAGCGGGAATAGTCAGAAAAATACTGAGAATATTCACCAGTCTGTAGGTTAAGAAGACGACAGAAGAGCCACAGTCTCACAGAAGTGGGCGAATGGAATAGATCCTAAATGCATGCAAGACGGTTCCTCTAAAACCCTGACAATGAACATACGTGAAGCGAGGATACGCAGAAATACTCGTGAATCACATTTCTAACTGTAGGATCGTTTTCGTTTATAGGGAGTCCGAAACTTCGAGCGGATAATTGACGTTCGTCACGCTGCTAACGAAACACTTCAAGCAGTTACGACGCATTACTTTGGATGGGGATAAAACTGCATTCAGGTGGAAAGACCTAAGTCGGAGGTAATGCCTTGTCACCAGCGTAAACAGCAAGACAGGTACCGAAGAGCAAACCAACAAGTTGGGATGAAGGCGCAGTTCAAACGTGCACTGTGTTTGGCTAACTATTCATAAAGGTGATTTGCCAAGTCAGAGGGCACAAAAATGAAACTAGGGACAGAGCTGACCCTCCGAAGTTGTCTGTGTCAACCTACTAAACAACAGCAAAAGCAGACTGCCGTAACCCTGCGAGTTAAAAAAAACTAGCCTAATGACTAAAAAATCAACAGCTCAAAATAAAAAAATGTCAGAATCCAGCAAGAGAAGTTACACATAAAATAAGCTGCTCGAGTCCTGTAAGATGATTGGCAAAGTGGCGCATCAAATAAACGACAAGCCCTGACGTCCCCTGTAACAAATGCCACTCGTCACCGTCGACATAAATGAACCAACGAAAGTTTACGAGATAAGGGCATTTACAAAGCAAACTACGAAGGCGTTACTCGAAAAAAAAACGAGAAATATTTATTTAGTTTTTTAATTTAAGAGAACGTCTTAAGAGCATCAATCTCTTCCACAATAGTGTGTATTTGGTGATAAGCACTTGTCCCAACGAGTTTTCCCCCGTTCGAAACATTTTTTATTTCTTATGAACAAAAGCTGTTAAGTGCCGCCAGCGATTTTTTCTTAACCACTTCTACCTTCGAAAACGCTTTCCCTTTAGATTTTTCTCCATTCTTGGGCATAATGACTTTCAGGAGACTAGCTTGGGCGAGTAAGGGGGGGGGGGTGAGAAACCGTTGTCATGCCGTCTTTCACCAAAACCCTGTTAGGTTTGAACGCTGTGTGGGCAGGTGCGTCGTCATGATGAAGCCATCAGTCCCCCAATCGCCAAAATTCAGGTCGTTTTTTTTCTCACTGCCTAACGCAACCACTTCAGCGCCTGCCGACCGCAATCTTGGTTTCCTGTGGTACCATGAGAAACAAGTTCAAGTGAATGATTCCTTTTAAGTCGAAAAAAATAAACTATCGTCGACAAGAAACAGAATTTGATGCTGGCGCGTTGTCCCTTAAAGTTTGTCATTGCCAAGAGCGCTGGGAGGGCGGTTTATAAAACAATCACTCTGTCCACCACGATGGTTCCTCACGAACGCTACTTCGCCAACTGAGTAGGAAGCGTGTCTGGTAGACATACCTGGCGGGCAGCACTGCCAACCCACTTGCTTACAGAAAATAATTCTCCTATTCTTTGGACATCTCCTTCATAAGTCAGTCGCTCCTCCCTTTATCACATAATCGAGCTACAGACAGGTATGGAAGCAGCAGGCGGCTAACCTTCATGGCGTCAATCAGATGGGAAACATCAGCTGCTAGGAAATCGGCACGAATCGCTGCCTCCGCTCCGGACACATTCGCGGCAGCCAGGAGATCTTGGTTGGTGCGGAGTTCTTCAATCAGGGCACCCGTTGTTTGCGCTAGGTGCTCAGCTTGACGCAGCAGGGCTTCGCCGTCACCGAGCGCAGCAGGAATCTGATGCTCTGACTCCAACAGGCTCATCACTATGGGATCCTGTTGTGCCTGAAGACAACAAAGACCGGGGTTGGCAGAGGGCACAACAAAAGGCCAAGTCAAAACACCGCCCTGCAACAGGACGGACTACAAGGCATCGAAATGGGAGTCACCTGAACAGACGCAGACATTAGGCGTTTCGTCAGCTGGTCAAGGCAGGCGTTCACATAAGTTGTAGCATGACGCAAGCCATCGAAGGCAGCCGCTTGTTCCATTCGTTGCTCTCGCGTTTGCAGGGCAAGGGATGGAGCCTCTGCGACGGCAGCAGCAACGTCCACAAGCGCATTGACGGCTTGACGTACCTAAATCAGGATGGAAGAATGAAGTGAGTTAGCAGCAATTGACAGAGCCTTTTGATTATGGGCTAAGCGCGGACAAAGGCTGACCTCTACCGGCCACAGTTCACGTCGTTCAGGGTGCGTGACAGTTTACAACTCACCTACAGATGCGATATTACAACTCCGTCCATTTTAAGGACCCCAAACAAGCCGACGGAGCTTGCAAGTGCCTGCACCCGACTGCAACCACATTCTTCACAGGCTGGACATCACCATTCAATGCCAAACGGCCATTATTTTCGCAGGTCTATTATATGTGCAGATGTCCTCGCGCACCTCCTCCAACAACCCGTATAAATTCTCAGCACACGGTCTTTTATGCCGTCAAGCAACCCATGACCAAGGACACGGAGCAGCATACGCGGCTCGCAGTATGTACTAACCAGCAGGCTCATGACGCAAACTGCTAACAGTATAGAAAAATTTGCGAGGTAGCGGCTTATCAGGCGGGCAAAATGGACACAGTCGACCCATCGTCATTCGTTTATATTTGCGAACAGCCAACCTTGTCATCTGTCCTTATGTTCAATCCAAGCAGGGACATCTGTAATCGTTAACACATGCACGTAGGTACAAAGGTCTTTTGGTACTGTGATTTGGAAAGACTGATGCCTGCAATCAGACACTGGAGAGTACTTTTCACACAACAGAACCAATGGTATCATAGGGACCACTCTATAATTATCCACAATGTTGGCTACCGAGACTTCTAATTTCCTCTGTACAAGGTTTTTATAACTATTTTACTGTCCTCGCGCCCGACCCTTAGATGTTGTTTCTTTCATGTAGGTATGTTATTCGTTTTTGTGTGCCAGAGGTGTACCAACACGCCAGAACCCTCAAATAATGTTGACAAACTCTAAAGAAGATTATTTTCATGAATGCAGTGCATGCGAGGGTGAACAATTCGTGCATCCGGCATTACTAATGGGAAGTCGTGAACCCCCTTGTCGCCTATCCAGAATTAGGAACTGGAGTATCGATCAGGAAAGAAATGCCGGCTATCGTTTCGATCCAACTGAAGTTATTTGGACGTATCATTACGCGAATGCCTTGATTCCCTTAAAGCGGGACGGAAGATTGAAGTAAATTAGAAGCAAACGACAGAACCTTTTTGTAATGGGCCAACTGCAGACAAGGGCTGACCTCCACCGGCCACAACTTACGACACAGAAGGCATGCACTTTAGTAAAAGGAAGAGACATACATCGAAGAAGGCGCATTGACGGTTTGATGGAAGATTGAAGTGAATTAGAAGCAAATGACAGAGCCATTTGATGATGGGCTAACGGCAACGGTAAAGAGAAGCATCCCACTTGAGTGTCAGTCAACCGTGGATCGCGCCGTACGTGATTTATGGTAAAAGGAGTTTTATGGGTGGGGCAGCACGCTAGATATTAAGCTAACAAAATAAAATAAAACACAAAAATTGACTGAATTTGTGCCGAAAGTCTTATCCTACGCTACTGTACGACAACAGAAATACGAGTAGCAATTAAACAATAAACGAAAAGTAAATCTCACAAACTAACGGATTTTGAGTTAAGGTGTGAGGTCGTGGAAAGACTCGTTGTTGGCAGTGTAATTTCTGCAACAGTCTGCAAATGTATGCCAAGACAAAACCCCATATGACACGATCCTCAGTCTACTGACAGTTATGTGGGGTCCTTCTCTATACCGTTGGCGGCATAACTGCAGACGAAAGCTGCCCTCCACCGGCCACAGTCTACACCACAGAAGGTAAGCACTTTATTAAAAGGAAGAGACATGAATAGAAGAAGGTGAGGAAGAAACGACCTGGCGTACAAATACCCCGTTCGTGGTAGATGACCCACAGGCATTATGACCGGGTGCCAATGTTCGAGACCTGTGGGTCTTTCCTGGTCTTCCAGTGATTTCACAGATGTTTACGACTGCCTCGCGAACTGTCACTTATAAGTTAGAATCAAAAAATCGCCCAAAGTTTTAGCCAAATTGGATGGGGCAAAATATGCTAGAGACCCAGGCTGGTGGGCACGCCATTACCCACAATGGGCAGCAACACCTCAAAGCTTGTTGCCTAATGATGCCAGATGGTGTATTTGTCATGCACACACATTTCCAGATAAGCTAATGGCGCCTGCAGGTAAGGTAAGAAGTGGAGTTACTTAGGGTGTTTAACAGGTGTTGGAAGGGACTCCTGGCGGCATTCCGCCCTTCGTCGCTTGATGAATGCACAGATGTAAGAAGAGGTAATGCGCAACCGGTAGGTGCGGTCACAGTATAGGCAGGCTGACATCGTATCAGCATCGCTGACGACTGCTGTCTGTCTCTTAGCGGCGTCGAGTTTGCTGGGACTGTGAAAGTGTTCGAGCAGGCTGATGCGTAAATAGAAGGTACTGTCACGTTGCAGGCGTGTCTGAGCGCCTTCCTTAGGTCATATTGCTGTATTGGGCAGTGTAGATGGAAACTGTCCCATGGAGATGACTGCATAGATCTCCGACATGGTACAGCTGCCCTATCTAAACTGAATCCCCCTCCGCATTACAAATACGCCTCCAGTTGATTCCGGGACCTGGGTATTCAGAACCTGTTCTGCAACTTCATCCTCAGTATTCACCAGAGACACCGCAACTGAAAGTGTTTCAGAAATAGGTTTGGTTGTGGCGGACTACCCAGGTCTCCACAACATAGATATGCACTGTGAAGACCACGACCCTTAACATGTTCCATTTCGTGCTGGACGGAATGCACGGCGAATCCGAAAGAAACATTCAAGGTGACTATAGATCTGACTGAGTTTGAAGATTCCAACTGCAATTTCGTCATCCATCAAGATGTTTCTAGAATGTTCCGCAAATATTCCCATGTTACACTTGAAAAGTCAAGTTGGCTAACACGTGTTTTCAGTAATTCTTCGTCAGGCCAATACAATTCGCATTCATCGACAGAGAGAAGGCCGTTTATCCTGATCGCACACGTTTTCATATCGCCGTGCATTCAACGTGTGCTAAATACTCCGTCCATGTTTAGATGTTTACTAACGGTTTCTCGCTGCTCCTCACGATAGGCCTGCGTCAACAAAGCAGAGGACATGAGGCTGAGGAGGTTTGGGACAAGTATGCAACCCTATTACGCCCTATTTATCACGCAGAGTAAATCCGACTTTGATCTATTTTCTGTGATGTGCACCATCACGTTGTCGTAAAGGTACCCTGCCGTAAGTCTGAACTTTCCAGGACACTCGCATTTCACCACGGTTTCCCAGAGTTTGCTTCGGTGTACGGTGTAGAAGACGCTGTTGAGATCTGAGGGAGTGGTCATGGGAGGAGCGCTAAGGGGAATTTCCGATACGCCAAACAAGGGGGTAGAAATTAAAATTCAGTCATAAAGTCAGCAGAAGAGTGTCCGTGGGTAGTGTCTGATTCACGCTGCGCAAATGTTCACTGGCATAGGAAGTTAAAGTCTCGCCGACACCCTGTGGACAGGTGACTAGATAGGCCTGGTTGAAGTCAACTTAATGGTCGCTGTCGACCAGGTGAGCCACGACTAAACTAGAGATGAACTTTGTCGTGAGTTGGTTGGGCCAAACAGGATGGTACTTTTGTATCCTCTTGGATAGGCTCCTAGTTATTCGACCAACACGACCTGCTTCAAAGGAACAAGTAAGAGTGCAAGTGCACACTGTAAAAGTCGGCCTTTTTCTACCTATGCGGCAAAGAAAGGGGGCCCTTGGAAAAATTAACTTTGGTCGCTGGACAGCTGGAGCAATAGCCAAATTTAGACGACGGTCAAGAAGTCTACTGACCAAGTTTCATCAAAAGGGCAGTTTAGGAAACAACCCTCCCCCTCATTTTAGTCATCGGCACGTCTGTTTCTGGCGGACCTTCGTCCTCCGGAATAACTGCTTAGCATATTTCCTTGACTCATTTGGCTAGGCAGTGAACTAAAGTTCGCTTCTGATGAGAGGGTCAAAACTGTAGAAATCTAGGTATGGGATCGAATATGAGAGTCCAAGATTCTTGTTGCAAATGAGAACATGCGACCTCTAATATAACTGCCGTTCCAGTGGTTTTGGGTCCTTCTTTTAAAATGTATGCACTGTCTTTTTCTCCTTTTCTTGTGGAACACATTCCCTAATTGTTCTAAAAGACCCTCTACCTAATTTAACTTCCAGAAAGGGACGACTTTCCCCTGTCTCTTTCAGTTGTGAAATTTTACGCTTAACGAACTTGGTCCACTTTTGGGTTTGTCCAAACCAGGTTTCGTATCCCCTATTCGGAAATACCACGAAGACATGGGGCATACGAATCATGGTGCGCTATAATAGGAGAAGACGGATTCTCGTGAGTGGGGACAAGTGCTCGAGTTCCAGGTGCGTGTGCAAGCACTCGTCCATTTTTCTGAGCTCTCGAACTCGTGCAGGAGTACCTTAGTAAAAGGTAAAAGCGGCAACAGAACAAGCGATGGCTATAGGGGATATTAGCAAATCAACGAATTGTGTCATAGGTCAGGTGACTGCGCACAGCTCCGTACGACGGCACTAGACACGTACTTCGGTTGAGTGTTCTCGTCACAAGTCCAGACCCTGATCAATTCTCGGCCTGACTCCTTTTCGGCAGGAAATTGAACTTGTGGCTCGTTTCGAAGGTGTGAGCAGTCACCTGCGATTATTTGCCACTCGTCGCACAGCAAGCTTTTGCTCGTGTATGCGCGACCATAGCAGGCGCTCGCTCTAAATCGCGTGACCATTAAGGTAGTTTAGGCACGGAATGTGATACACTACACCAGACTGCTCCGTTTCGGTTTGATCGGTCCTTGATTTTCATGGTCGTGTTGCACAGGGTACCTGTGGGCCGGTGTGTAACTCCAATACCTGGGTCTGTATCAATGCGCTCGGTCGCCCTCCTGCGAACCGCTGTCTTGATTCCACAGTTAAGACTTCGCGTGACGAGCCAAACCAAGGAAGGACAGCCGCTTCTCTTTTTCTTTTCCGATTGTGAATTGCGTATCTGGAAAGATTGCCTTGGGAAGGTTATGGAAAGTCTGTAGTCTATTCGTCATGACAATAACAAACGTGTCGTTAATGTAACGGCGCCAAAAGATAGTTATTTCTAACTTCCGAGGGACCAGTTCTGCCAGTAAGCCGGGGATCGGGGAACCCACTGGGTGCGTATGTGCTTTCGAATTTGCTGCGCGAAAATATCTGCGTCCAGTTCGCAGGGACGGAGATTACATAGGCAGAGACCATGACGTTGACCGATTGAATTATGCGAGCTATTTGGTGTAAAAGGAGCAGGGAGGCTGACCGGACTGAGGTAGTCAAGTTGCCTCAGAGAAACTTCAGCTTTGATACACCCACCTTGCCAAATTATATGTAGGGCACAATTGTGGGACAGAAATTTGCCGCAGAAGAATACTTGGTTCGTAGATCTTTGGCAGACCATAGAATTGAACTAGGCTAGTGTCTGTGGGGCTAATTTGGCGTTGTTTTACCTCGAGTTGTCCGTGAAGGCGTCTGCTAGCAGGTGTTCACGACACGATGTCGTTGCTGCCCTACCGTGACGTATATTCTTGCGCAGGCCTGATAGTGATTGTACTAAAACGCACTTTTGCCGGTTTTGACTTCCTCTGCATGTCGTCTCTTCGCCCGAGGTCGCCTTCGTGGGTGAAGTAGCGGTCTCATTTTCAGGATGACTAGGTGACGGTCGGTCTAGCATTCAGCATCACACATTGCTTACGCTGCAAGCCCCTCACGGCAGCACCCTTCGTATCACAACGAGCATGTCGTCCAGAAGTTGGAAGTGGCGTGGACGAGGGCGCGTGTCCGTGGTCTTTTTTGAAGTCAGGAAGGCAAAAGACAACATTAATGATGGGAGGATGGTGTTGTTCACGCCTGTTCAACAAGAGGACATATGAAAAAGCGATGCGATTGCTTGTGCTAGACTTCCATTCGTCCGACGTTTCGGATTCACACGCTAACCCATCATCAGGGACAACAACAGACAAGGTAACGCCTCTGTTGACATTTCCCCTTAATGAGCACCAGACACTCCCTCCCATGCATTCTGGCCTGTGCCGACTCGCGCATTAGAGCCACCACAACTGGTCATTCTGTCTATATTCAACACAGACACAAGACGTGCAAATTCTCGCATAACTCTTCGTTCATTTTGTCCGTACTAGTCTACGCCACAGTGTGGACTCTGATAATTGTGACAATTTCCTGCCAATGAGTGGATGCACAGCGTAACGAATCCACCGTTGATTCCCTGCTGGAGGCATGATCTATCTAACACAGACCGGACAGTCCAAGCTGTCAGAATGACGAGAATCCTTGTGGCGGGCAAGGGAGGGAAACTAGGACGGGCAGGGTTCCTGTTTGTTACGTTTCAACCGTTCGTGTCGTCTCCAGTGGCTGCGTGCTAGCTGCTGCATAGACGGCGTGAGCCAGTATTTGGCCAGGACACACTTTAT